AGCTTGGACCCCCATCTGTCCACCCGGGCAAGCAGCTTCCGCTGCTACCAGTCACATATGGAGTTAAAGCTGGGCAGCCCTGTGGGGGAGGCAGCCAGCTCCGTGCACCCCGTCCCACTCCCGTGCTGGTCTGCAGTATAAAAAAGGTTGTGAAACACTGGTTTAGGGTTCTTAATTGGGCTAAAGTGCTCACATTTATAGTCAAGTTTCAGAGCACATGAGAATCTATTGTAGAAGTAAAGGTAAAATTTGCCTTAAAAATACATGAGGAATCTTTTCAAATATCAGGTGGATTGTAGGGTCAACACCCTAGAGTTCTGCTCTGTACAATAAAATGGAATCTACCTTGGATCTATAGACTCTATAGCAGCATTTCTCAACCCATGGTTCACAACCCAAAAGAGGGTTGCAAGACTATATGGAAGGGTTGCACATAAACTTTAAAAATGGATTCTCCTTTAAAGGAGAATAATGTGGGAAACAGTGAGTTTTCCCTTGCAGGTAGAGTTCCAGCCTGGAAGGGGCTGCCCCCCATACACACACCTCCTACCCCACACACTGGGGGGCTGGCTTTAGGAGCAGTGGGTTGGAAATGAGGGGCACTGGATTAAGATTGGCCATTAGTGTTTACAAATGGGTCCTGGTACAAAAAAGGTTGAGAATCGCTGCTCTATAGTGCTGCCAGAATTGCTCTTCTGCACATTTTATTGTAGAATGATAAAGCTCCACACGAAACTTGTTTTGTTCTAACATTTACATTTTCAATGTACTTATTTCAGTGCTCTGAGTTTTTGGTACTGACCTTTCTTTTCCTCTTTCCCCCTACTCTCTTCCCCCTCCCCTCTCCTGCTTTACCTTTTGTCTTGCTTATCACCACCTATTTACATTTTCACTGACATCCTACCACACTTAGCTTCTCTCATTTGTTGGAGTCACAGACCAACAGAGACTCCTGTGCCTGACAGAGGATGACTGCACGAAAGCTTGCAAAGAACTTTATTCCAACTACTCAGTTGGTCTAATAAAAGATATCACATCTAACCAAAGAACCTTGCCTGCCTTATTCCAGTTCAGCTTTTTGCTAAAATATATTCCAAGGTATTTAAGGAAAGATACCACCTGTATTTTCTTTTCCTGTAAAAAAAAAAAAAAAAAAAAAAGCAATCCCATTCCTTCTTTCCAGTGGTCATTTCCAAAGACTGTTACTTTGGATAGGGCATGCCAGTCACATAACACACCCTTGATGCTGCATCGAATAGTAAGTGAAGATTAATTGTAAGAGAGCTTTGTCTATTGATGTTAGTGCCAGTTTCTTCCATAATTTTAATCTGTCTGTAGAGTAGAAGACTCTATTGAGATCTGTGAAGGCTACATACAGATAATTTTGTCTTTTAACATTTTTGGATGCTAAATAATACAATGCCAAACAATGGCCCATGCAGGAATAGCCTTCTCTAAAACCAGTATGCTCGTCTCCCCAAATATTTTCAGAGATCCATGTCTGAAGGTGAAAAAGTAAATGTGTCTCAGATATTTTGGCAGGAATACACATAAGGCTAATCCTGGTTTTCTCTGTAAAAATCATGAATTCTCTGATAGAAGAAGAAAGTCACAAATTCTATTATTAAAAACTCCAAAATCCAGGTTTTTCCGTGATTAAAATGAAATGCCACATATATATTTATGCATCGATTGAACGCAATAAATTCTAAATACCTATAATGGGTTTCTTACAATGGAAAAACAGAGATAATCCTGCCTCATTCACTCACCAAGACGCACACAGATCTGGGAAGCATGTGTCCCCCATGCCGCCCCAGGAGTGCGCATAGCAGTGGGGAGCTAGCCCTCACCCCCTGAATGAGCTGCCCACAACTCTCTCCCTCCCTCACCTTGGGGGCCTCAGTTCTCCCCCCTCCTCATCCTGCCAAACTTACCTGTGGTGAGCTGCTCCCCAGGCTGCCTGGAGGCCTTGTGCACATCCACATGGCACCCCGTGCATGACCACTGGACATCCACATGGCATCCCCTGCCTGACCATCCTGCTCCCCCCAGCCCCTTGCAAGCTGGAACTCTGCCAGCCTGCAAAGGAAAATTTAATGTCTCCCGTGTTTGTCTCATTTAAAGGAGAAAATCCAGGTTTTTCTCCTTAAAATGAGAAAATCTGAGTTTTACTACGTTTTTCTGTGGGGAACAGAAAACCCAGATCCCTGGTGACAAGACACAGGATCTCTTATAACTGTTTTTTAAAACTGGGACTATTATATTTTCATTCCAGTACTTTTGATAAATACCTTCTAAAATAATTGTATTAAAATTTTTGGTCAGATTCAGACACAACCAGTCAATGATTTGAGGAGAAAATCAAGACGGAGAGCTTTTCCATTTCTCAGTAGGGATATATATGCTCTTACTTGAGGTTCAGAGGTGAGATAATGATCTACTTGTAGCTTAACACATAAAATTTCTTTCAACAAGAAGCTACCATTTCCTTCACCATCTGTAGATCAGTTGTTAAACTTGCTTTTAAAAAACAAGACCCATGTATCTTCAGGGATATTCACATTAGAAATTATCCCTTTGGCTATAATTTGCCAAAAATGTTAATTGTCATATTTTTTCCTTACAGCTACTAGTTCCTCCCACAGTTTCATTTGCTATTGTTTCTTTTTCATAGCTACCAATTTTTCATAGTCTGTTTTAATTTTCTTGACCCATTGAAAGCTAACAGTCATTTTTAGACTTATATTCCTCCACTGTGTCCTGATTCCTTCCCAAAGTGCACTTTACATTCTGACAGCACATGCACGGGTGGATCTAGGATTTTGTGAAGAAGGGTGCAGGAGCAGCAACTAACACTGCAGGCATGGCTGCATCACCCCTCCCAGCTCCCCCTTCACACCCAGGTGGCAGGCCACACCATGGGAGCAACAATGAGGACTTACTTTAAGTCCCCAGATTAGCTAACAATCTTGTCATCCCCCCACCACCTCCACATCCCCTCCTTTTGCCCACCACTGACACTGTCCCTGGCTGATCTGGGGGGGGAGGGGTGGGCTGGGCTGGGCTGAGGTCCAAAGCTATTCCTGCCCTGCTCCAGCTGGAAACAGCAGCAGGCAGGTTGCCTGGTCCCACTAGTAATTCCCTACCAATCTAGAACCGAGTGCAGGGAGGGGGAACCTGCCTGGCATTGCCACTGCTGTCCCCTGCTGTCCCCTGCTGAGCCTAGGTACAACAGCTCTGGAGCTCCTTCCCTCTCAGCCCACCTTAGCCATAACCCTCGTGGTTCATTTCACAGGAAGTCAGAGGTTGGCTTCAGAGCCACTGCAGCCAGGCTCAGGGGACAGCAGCGCCAGGTGGATTCCCTCTCCCTATGTTTGCTCCTGGACCGGTGGGCCCTGGGCAGAGAGAAAGCACCTGCTGTCATCACTGCTCCCAACCAGGCCAGGACAGAAGTGGCTCTGGAGCCCCCCATCTCCACATCAGCTGGGAACAGCAGCAGCGGTGGGCAGGAAAGGAGGGTGAATGGGAGGGGAAGGGATGAGATGCAGAGGACAGAGGGGAAGTGAGTTGTGGGGACAGGCGACAGGATTCTTACCTGATTTGGAAACTTTAAAGTGCATGCAGCTGCTGCTGCACTATTGTCCTGTTAAAGGTGTGATGTGTCCACATCCCCATATCCCCTCTGGATCGCTTGAGCACAGGTGCTGAGTGGAGCCACACCGCCACTGGAAACACATGGATGTTCATGCCCTTTGGTAACAGGCAGTAGCTGCTGTCTGCTGCTAATACTTCTTTCAATAGAGCAGGGTATCTGTGTAACCTAAGCTTGTCTGAAGGGGAGTGGGTTTAGAGCAGTTGAATTTCTCTAGATGCAGAAGAAAGAAACTAGACAGGGTTTATAAGGATCTTAGAACGAGAGGAACAAAAAAGCCATGGTTTTGTAATGCAGGATTATTTGGGCTAGATTTAGTAGAGGAGGACGTGGTGCTCAAATGTAGTACCAATTTCACCCACCATTTGTAAAACAACATAGAGGCATATATCCAGGACGTGCCCATCCTGGGCTCAGTCCACATCTTCCAGGATAGTGCCATTCCTTCCTCGTGTCCTTGTGAAAAATGATTTAGAATTCACAGATTTGTTGGAATCTGGAAGTGCTGTACCAGGTTCTGCTGTGGCCTCAAACCCACAACCTTAGTGCCCATGCCACCCTACCCCCCGATAATATAATTGTATTTTACCTAATAGCCTTTTTTAATGTAAAATACATAAATAGCCCTAGGAATGCTGTAGCCACTGGAGTACACTAGTGCGTCCTTTTTTGCCAGCATACTGTCTCTGCTTTTATTAACATGCACCCCTAAGAGATAAGTATAAATTTAAGAGTACCCACAAGGCTAGAGCTCTCAAAAGGTTGCACTTAAGTTCCAGAGGGGTGTGGGTCTCGCTTTTCTTTGAAGGTGGGTTCCAGCTGGGTCTCACTTTTCTCCGAAGGTGACAGAGAACCTGTGCCCAGGAATCTATCAGAAAGGCCACAGAAAGCAGTGCATCCTGTTCTGACAGGGAGAAAGTTTATGAGTATACAGGGCAGCATGGTAGAACCTTAAAGAGTCTAGTAAAGATTCAGCTGGGGAAGTGCCACCAGGGCTGTGCAACAGTGACAAAAGGGAAAAAAGCCTTAGTAAATTTGTTTGAAGAAAATGCCGTCCTGAGATTCAAACCTAACATTTTGGAATTGCTCAGTTATGTGCACCAGAAACAACACCCCTTTTTCCCCCAGAATAAAATTGTTATTCCACTCTTAAGTCATGTGCATATACAGTATCAACTGAATTTATAAGCAGGAATTATATCCATTTCTATAGGGAGAAGGTATGTTTCAATAGCAAGTATTTTTGTACTGTATCTGTTTGCAAATGGAGGATACACATTTTACTTTGTGCTTGTTTTCTATGCTGTAGAATACAGTTTTTCATCTATTCTTTCCATCTCTGCAGAGATTCAAGATTAACATCAATAGGAGGTGGTGCTGATGAAGTCATGCTTTCCATTATATGTAAATATATGGATATTCTTCCAAAGAAGTAATGCTCAGCAAAGTCGCAACTCTTTATTGGCTATGGGAAATTATGGATTTACGACAAATCGAGAGTATGAGCAATACACAAATTGCAAAAGGTGATTCAAGTGAAAAAACTGTCTTGCATTCATGCCAAAGAAACAAAAGTCTGTGCCTTTGCCCACCATTGCTTGGTCTATATACAATTTAATACTGAACTTTAGGTTGATAGAAAATTACCTGAAAACTTAGAATCTCTCGATTTTTTTTTTTTTCATTTTGTTGAACAGATACTTTTGATTCATCTAATCCGTATTAAGTAACCAGAGACCATATTCTAAAATGTTATACCCATGTTGTTTTTACAAAAACAACAACCTACTTAGATGTGGCAAAGAATTCAACCAGAAGCTTGCTTCAGTTTGAGTGTAAAAGTAAATACTTCTATTCTAAAAAAATTAGGGTATGCACTCTCCCCATGCCTTATTTCTTAAACTTGCCAATACCTTTTTTAATACACTGCTTCTGGCTTAGAGCTTCTGTTCTTATTTGCCTATATTGTACAACGACTTTCACTTTAAAACATCCAGTGTCCAGTTGGTACTTAAGGCCACTATTCCAGTGGAATAAGGTGTGTGTTGCCTTTAAAAGACTTTTTTTCTACAATCTGCAGTCATACTTCTTAATATGTTTGTTTTGTTAAAGTAGTGGTTCTCAACCTTTCTGGACTCAAGGCACCCCTTGATAGGCTGACGGCACTTCTCAGAAAATACAAGCTCTTCACTTTCACTAACTGTTTGACTACAGAAAAATAAAGTAATTCATCTGTTGCAAAGACCTCAGACAGACCACAACTTCTTAACACTATGGATTCTTATTCAAAATGAATTGCATAAATCATGTTTGCATACAAGGATGCCCTGGTATCCTGGTAGAGAATCAATGAGGTAGCACCTTAAAACAATTTTTGTCATACTGGTCTTTTTACAGGAAATCAGTAATTTGCTTATTTTGAATGTTGATTCATGAGAACACTGTGATCACACGTATGCTGGTTTAAAGTTGAAAAAAATGTGACATGCTGCATTGCAATTGCCTTAGATGACAAACATGTAAACAATTGCATGTCTTTGCTTCACTAAATTTGTGTCATCTGTTCTAAATATTGCAATAAAGTGTACAGTTCCTCACAATAAATGTAACATTCTAGTTTTACGTTACAACTTAAAAGTAGTTCTTTCTGATTACTACTTCAAAATAACTTCGGTAGCTCTTTCCATGATTAGTCAAAAACACAGCTTTTTCATGTTAAGAGGTGACCTGTCAAAACTATCTCATTCCAAGTGTGCTTTGTTGTGATCACTGTCCATTTAACAGAATGTTTTTAATTTACTGAAGTCATAAGTGGTATTTTTTTTTCCTTATAAAAGCTCCATAACATTGCAGAATTAATAGTTTGAAAGTATTTCCTTTCATATTAAGATGCGTCTCATCCTGATACCATAGAGCCTAATATGCATTAGCTTAAGCACAATCATAAACTGCTAATTTTTAGACAAAGCAATTAAATGTAAAAGCAAATATCAAGGATAAATACAGTGTACTTTATTCAATTACCAATTCTAATTGATACCTCATTCCATTAAGACTCTTCTATAGTATCTATCTTTCTACTACATAGGTTGTGATAAGAGACTGTTTACACTTATTTATGACGCTGATAAAGTCAATAGAACTATGCTTGCATAGCACTAATTTAACTGCCTCCAAAACCCAAATTTGGGGGGCTACAGGGTATCAAAACATCCCAGAGAAATTCAGATACTACTAAGGTAATTTTTTTTAAATTAAGAATTGGATTTTTTTTTCTTTTTAAAAATAAACCAGCTTAAAATGAAATTTGAATTTAATACAATACAGGCTAGGGTATAGCTGTATATATTAAAATTTCTGTGTGTTGGGTAATTGAGCCTCTACTAAAAACTCTGGAGCTAAAAGCCAATTTTTTTCTATATAAGAATGAGGGGGAAAACATACAGCTTTTGAGGTCAAGCTTTAAATATATGACACAATATTTCATGTATCAGGGCAAAGAATGCAGGGACTTATACTACTGGATCAGCAGCAGAGTCATTACAGCTATTGGAACCTGGCCTCTGACTCCAGCAGACACCGTCATATGTACTTCCTTGATCAAGATTATGTATACACTGAGCCCACCTGGGTGGGACCAAACTCCTGTTCTATTCTAGCTAATCAGAGCTCAGGTAAATTCTCAAATTATGAGTATTTATGATTCTGCATCAATAAAAACAACCATCTGCTCAGTAAGTACCAGCCCCCTGTTTCTGAGTACTTCCATTAAATGGCCTTTCTTGGACCCTTTTCCATATGTACAAAAATATAAAAATTAACTTCTCAAGTGTTCTATCTATGTCTCTAAAATGAAAGTGCTGCAGCCCATGAGGCTAGGGGTTACTATAGTAGAAATCATTCATGGTTAGGGTTTTTTGTTTGGGGGGGTTTGGGTGGGGGGATGTATATCACAGGGAGGAATGTTTGTTATTTTCGTGTGTGAAGGAGAAAGAGCAGCGTAAGCAGCAGCGGGTACATCTTCACATGCTATTTATGCAAAGCAATACACTCTGGCATGTGTCCTGCTGGATTTTATTACTCCCGTGTGCCACATTTACACATGTAACTGGGACCACAGCATTCTGAGCCGAGTTAGAGCAGCCCCAGCTGGCAGGAGGCCTGGCAGTACAGTCTGCCACCACAGCTGCTCTGGCCCTGCTCATTGTGCTGTGGAGGGGCTGGCTGGGGTACAAAGGTGCTCCAGTGCAGAGCTAGCTGGCAGGCAGCCCCTGCACTGAAGCACCCTCCTGCCCAAGCCAGCCCAGTCCCCATCTATACATATGTTGCTGCAGAGTACAAGTCTATACAAGAACTATACTGCAGCGGAGAAAATTAGTTTACTCTAGCCTAATAGTGTCGCATGTGCAGATGCCAACATTTTACTGTGGGGCTAACTAGTAGGGCTGTGCAGAGCAGGTAATCGATTCAAAATCCATGTCAAATATTAAACGGGGTCCCGCTTCGATTTGCCGTCTGCTTTGAGTCCAAGTGGGTCCGCTTTGACTCGAGGTTGAAGCTCAGTCAAATATTCGAGCTGTTTCAACTTCCCCATAGGCTATAATGGGGAAGGTTGAAGC